CATTAAATTAAAAAAACTACATTTAAAATTAACATAATATAACTTAAAATAGATACAACAACAAAATAAGACCAATTATTAAATTGCTAAAAAGTTAAGTTAAATACCAAATTTAGTCCCTAATATTTTAAATTTATATCAAAATTAACCCAAACTTTAAAAATACCAAAACTGTCCCTAAACTTTAATATTTAATACCAAAATAGTACTAATCTCAACGTGTTACTTGATATTTATTATTTTGCCGCAAAATCAATTTCTTTTTCAAAAATTAATAAAATAAAATCAAATAATTATATTTTACTATCATGATATATTTTTCTAACTGTATTTATAAAGTTGAATAAATAAATTAGTACTTATAATCAAAGTTTTAAGGTCTAAGTCTTCAAATTTTAAGGACTAAATTAATACTAAATAAAAGTTCAGGGATTATTTTGGTTCCAAAAATTAAAGTTTAAGGACATTTTTAGTACTTTTTAAAGTTTTGGAATAAGTTTAACCTAAATCAAAAAGTTGAGGGACTAATATGGTTATTTAACCAAAAAATTTAGGTCCTTCAACTTTAAAGTTTACATACTTTGCGTCCCTCAACTTTTTTAATATTTTTTTTAATCTTCAACTATGAAAAATACAATGTTTTATAATTAATTAAAAGATAAGAAATGCAGAAAACGGTAAGACATGAAAATTTGCCTATATAAAACCTTCAAAACTCACAAAAATTATATATATTCACCCTAAAATATACTCAAAACAACAAATCTGAAAATGCTAGCTAATATCAAATATTTAATATAAAAATTTTGTCATTAGTGATTGATATTTCACTAAAAATTTATAAAAACATTATTCATAACTATTCATCAAATTTATCTAAAAGAAAATCTAATAATATTAACTAATATCTAAGGAACTAATTAATAACAATATTTGATGGTTTAAATTGCAAAAAAAATAAAACCTACATAAAATATATAAAAAAATAATAATATTACTTAAATTTTACTTACCACTGCTTGATCCACTATACTGTAAGAAAAAAAATGTTAAAGTGCTTCAAAGTGTTGACTCAATGTACTCCAAGAGGGGGGTGAATTGGAGTACCAAAACTTTTCTCCTTTTTCAACCACAAAACCCAAATTAAGGAGAGTAGAGAAGAAAAGCTTGCACAATGAATTTATAGAGGTTCGGTCCAACAACTTTGAGCTTAGTCCTCTACCTTGGCTTCACTCACCAAGGATTTCCTCCACACTCTTCACTAAGAAAGACAAGGGTGGCTTAAAGGAGCCACTCAATCCTTTTACAACAAGATGACTATTTCTCTCAAACCTCACCCCTTTACAATGTAAGCCCCACAAATCCTCTCAATAGATCTCTCTTGAAGGAATCAACATACCCCCAAGATCACTCACTAAAAGCACAAGAAGAGGATTACAAGCAATGATCACTCAAAGATCAAAAACTCAAGTTAAAGCTCAAGTAGGTAGGTAGGTAAAGATATTCAATGCAATGTTCTCTAAACCTCTTCACATTTGTTACCAACCATATTTATAGCCCCTTGCTCGAAAATAGCCGTTTCTAGCCGTTGGGGGTCATTAAATGCTCTGCAAGACACAAAGCTCGAGTTGCAGGATTGTCAGGAGAGTCGGCTTAACTTCCTAGAGTCGACTTTGCACAGTCGGCTCACCATTTCTGCAGCCGGCTTTGCAGGATTCCTGAACATTCTGTTTTCCTTGAGAGCCGGCTGCAAAGCCTAGAGCCGGCTTTGCGAGATTGCAGCACATTCTGTTTTTCTCGAGAGCCGGCTGGAAGACTTTGAGCCGACTTCGGAACTCCGACTTTAAATACATTAAATATTCTTCAAAAGAGTCGATCGTTGTGCATTAAATGCACCCTCATAGCCGGCTATAAAGTTGGAGCCAGCTTTAAAGTTGGAGCCAGCTTTGCGTCTTTTCTCCGTGCGCGCCAAGCAACGGGCTTCAAATTTTTACCTGTAGAGCCGGCTACAGCTTCTAGAGCCGGCTCTCTGCACTTCCATTTCACCAGAGCCAACTGCAGCTTTCAAGAGCCGGCTCTCTGCACATTTTGAATCCTTTTGGTCTATTTTTAGTGTAATCCAAGTTTACTTGCAATCTTTTAGCAACTTAACTACACACTTAAATAAACCAATTAGTCACTCAAATGAGTTTTGTAATCATCAAAATCATAGGTACAACACAAAGGAAAGAATGGAGGAAAGGAGAGCAAGAACAACTTGCGAACAAAAGAGGAAAATGAAAATGAAAGGAGAAAGACCAAAATGAAAATGAAAGGAGAAAGACCAAAATGAAAATGAAAGGAGAAAGACCAAAATGAAAGGAGAAGGGCGGTTCGGCAAGGCAATAGGGAAACTTACGGACGAGACCCACATTGCTACAATCTAAAGCTAATCATCTCTACGTTGCATCGGAATTCTCGTTGACCAGGCCAATCACCGACAAAGATCAAGTTGGCAATGTATACATTACCGACCTAAACCTTGTCGGTAAGCTAAATAAAAGCTACAACACCAGTGGCCAGTAGCCAGATTCGCGAGGAGTTGGGAAATGGGAAATTACCGACAAGGATAATGTCGAAATATTGCATCAAAAAGCTGCACTTCCTGACGCAGGCAGCCAGCTGATTGACGGGGCTGCGTTGGGAGTGGGAATTACCGAGAAGATGTACGCTGAAAAATTTATCCTCAATTATCGACGAGACTCTCGTTTCAAAAATAAATTCATAGGCCTGCTTCTCGTCGGTGATTTAGCTTTCCATTCGTCCCCCACCCGCTGGAGTGTTGGTTGCAATTACCGACAAGGAACATGTATGTATGATCTTAAGTTATAGACAAGTATTACGTTTGTACAATAAATAATATATCTTACTGCTATTTCTATTGTTTCTCAATTTTCAGACTTATTTCTTGTCGGTAAAATGATGCTTCACCAAGAAAAATTCTTACCTTGGTGATATGTTGTCGGTGAAATTGAGTTTTCTTGTAGTGTCTGCCCAGTTTTAATACCGTTTGTATGTTGTTAAGGAAGAAGAGCTGAAGATGTGCAATTTGGCCTAAAATGATAGGTGGGAAGTATGAAAGCACTAGACAGTTTTCTATGCTTTTAAATTCAGTCTTTCAATTTAGTTGTTAACAACTTTTTCCATGCTTGAATTTGTGCAAGAATTAACTTGGAATCTATGAATGCCCAAAAGTTGACTTTGACTGTGCAATATTACCCTATGAAGTGGTATGAAGGATGCTAAGAAGATGACAGTTAGAAGAGAAGTCCTTGATCTGGACTTGCATTATTGCTCATAAAAAAGAGGCTACAATGAGCTAGAAAGTTGTTTTGTTCAATACTTAATTTAGTCCATTCAATTTGCTCTTCCAACATAATTCCACTATCATTGATTGATGAATTATGATATTCGATATCTGGTTTTCATCACCATAATTATTCGCAAACACGTAATTCGAAAAATGAATGCACTATATGTTAATGGGATCATCACCAACCTCACTTTCTGTTAATTTATTATTTTTTCACATGTGTCGAATCAAAACATTTAGTTGTTAATTTAAGTTCCACTAAGTTTGTTGCTCAGTTATCTGCAATATGAAAGTAGATTAGATTCTCAAACATATTGAATTAAATTATTTTTTATGTCATTGCTGCACTGAATGAGTATTGAGGATTGCTTTTGTGTGTGTTACAATTGTCTTTCTCTTGTTTGTTAGTGGTTTCTTTGATTTGAAAACTTATTTTATAGTTTAGACTTCAAATTATAAAACAAAAATTATTAAAGGAAAAAAAATTTTAATATCAAAAAATTTAATCTTATTTAATTATTAATATTAAGTAATTTGATACAATTTAAATTACTTAACACTTTTTTCTCACGAGACTTTGAGCTGTATGGTTTAGTAATGAACTGTGTTCCTTTTTCATAGTGATTTTCATTTGACGAATTGTACGAATGACGAGGATTAAAGGACTATGCTTTTCCTTAGTGTTGTGTTTTTGGATGGCATTTTCACTTTCAACTACTCTCTTTTGTATTCTTTTATTATTATTTTTTAATAATTTTGGTGCGGAATAGATTCAAAGAAAAATAAAAATTCAAGCTTCTAGAAGGGACCCATGTGAAGTAGCCGGGAACTTTCACAGCAGGAGCAGGGCTAAAGAAAAAAGTTATGTTTATAGTTTCAAAATAAAGACTTTT